AAAAAAAAAACTGTCAGAGATCACTGCAAACCTTAGATGAATAAGTGTAAATTCATCAATTATTTCAGTTGTGGACGTTGAATAGACAAAGTATTTTTAAATAACTGGGTTTAGTAAACTAAAGGTTCTCCCTTTAACACTGTTTATACTTTTCAATTGCTTATATTAATATATATTATAATGTAAACTAACTTTTAGCTTAGCCCCTACATGACTTACAAAAAACTAGCAACAAAATAAATAATTTATCTAATCTTTTCAACCAGTGGCACATAAAAAGTCCCATAGCATTCCCTACCCCCAACCCTCCCCCCGCCCAGCCCCACCTCCAGCAAAAATCTAACACAAACAGTACATATTTACCTGGCATGTTCTTCAGGAAGTTTTCTTTGTCGCTGCATATGAAACATTAGATCTCCTCCATTTACATACTCTATGACAAAGAACAATCTAAAACACAGGAGAGATAAGAAACAAAGCAAATGAATGTGGGGTGGGGGGAAGAGGCAAACCAAGGAACAGACTCTTAACTCTAGAGAACAAAGTGATGGTTACTAGAGGGGAGGTGGGCAGGGGAGGAGGTGGTAGGGATTAAGGAGGGTACTTGCAAGGAGCACCAGGTGTTGTATGAAAGTGTTGATACACTATATTACAGACCTGAAACTAATATCACACTGAATGATAACTAACTGGAATTTAAATAAAAACTTGGAGGAAAAAAGTATTTTTTAATTAAGAAAAAAAAAAAGAAAAGAAAATCAGCAAGGCTTAAATCCAGGAACTTTACATGTCAGGCTTAAAAAAAATAAATAAATACAGGAGAGAGCACATGAAACCAAGATCCAAAATAAGGCACTGTCACTTTGCATTTTAAATACTACAGAGACCAGTTACAACATAGAGAGCATTCTATAGATTTACCCTTAACAAACATTCCAGGAATTTGGTGGAAACAAAGGGTAGTTGGAGTCGAAAGCTGTTTAATCACAGAAGATACAAGAAAATAAACCAGCATAACTGTGTAAACTGTGTCTTCTATTTGAAAGTAGTACCACTAGCAATCCAGAGCCTCTCACTCTCACCCCAATTTTAGCATTTGCAAGATAAGTCATTTTCAACTGTCACTTAAGGTAAAGAAGTTAGGATTTCTCCCTCTAGTTAAACTTTAGGAAACTTTAAGGACTAAAACTAGAATCTTGGAGATATTTATGACTTGATTTTTTTTTTTTTTTTTTTGCCTAAAGTGGGTAATTTCCTAATGCCACTCCAATGTTAAAATGATATCACTGATTGGAGTCTGAGTAGTAGGAAATTTTAAGCATAGTACTGTTGTGTCCATCTCCACGTCTTCCACTTCAGGCTTACAATAGAAAGCAGCTGTCATTGTCTAATATACCAAAATGTGTAAAGCCCAGTAATTATTCCATTATCTTTCAATCTTACCTGCTTTCTGTCTGAAAGCAAGAATGCAGCCCAACAAGAAAAGGATGATTGGATGCCTGCTCAAAAACATGCTTCTCCGTCTGTACCCAATCAATATCCTATTTCAAAATATGGAAGAAATCTATGTCAAACTGAATTATCATCAAAACTATGATAAATTTGTTCTTAGTAATTCATTTACCACATACGCAATTACTAACTAGGCTAAATACCAAAAGCACTGATAATCATGAAACAAGAGCTTATATACAAATAGAGAAACACCACCAATAAATCTTTCAGTATTATGAAACAGTCTAAAAAACTTTTATAAAGCTCCCGTACTTTCCCTTGATAATAATATGGTTTGATTTTTATTTTTTAAAAATCTAGTAATCATCACATTACATTAAATCTATCTTATGTAATCTGTTTGAAGCATATATTTAGAATAGACTGAAATTATAAGACACAAACATTGAGGTTTTCTCTGAAATAGTACACCTAAGCCAATTTAACAGTTCAGAAATAATAAATCATTGTGCTTACCTCATCATCGTTGACCAGCTCTTTTTTCACAACTTTCATTGCATAAATACGATCTGTTTTTTTCAATCGCACCAATAGTACTTTGGCATAACTTCCTCTACCTATTACCCGAAGCAAATCAAAGTCCTGAAGACCTAAACTGGATGAAGCTTTGCCACTTTCCCTGGTATTCATTGCCTGTTGAGAACATTTACATCAAAGAGTTATACCTAGAGGAATTTTGCATAATACATTATATTTCTAAGCCCTGGTTATACCTAAGATGATTTTAAAATATCTTCTGATTTAAGTTCTTAATAGTTCTTTTCTTACATCATACGATATAATCTAACTACGCAACAGGTAGGATGAATTCATGAATTGAGGTCAGAGGGATAATGATAGGAAGTTGACATCTGAGAAGTGTTAAAGGGTATCTTAAGATCTGACAAATTTTGGGTCTGGAGGCAATGAAGATACATGAATTTAAAAAATGACACTAACTTTGATGACCGGGAGATTGGAGGTACTACTGACAGAAAAACAAAGTGTGCACATAGGATAAGATTGACAGAGCTGTTGAGATAATAGGCTTGCTTTTTCATCCTGAAGATATAAGCTACAATGGGATATCAAGATTAAAGAGTCTACTGGAAGCTTGATATATGACATCTGAACTAATGGGAGGACACATTCAGAGACATTTTTAGAAGCTATAGACAGAAAACAAGCATGAGGCAGCTTAACTAATGGAAAACATTTTTTTCTACACAGTACCCAGGCTCCTTTGGAATGAGAAAATTAGCCTTTTAATTCATTTACAACTAAAAACTTAGGCTTCTGGTAATTTATAGAGAAGACCGAAGATAATCTTTTTAAACATATCTGCAAAATCCTCCACATACAATCAACAGATGTACCCATAAGAATTAAGTATGAATTTTCTCAAGTGAAGAGTATCAAGAAAAGCAAAGAGCAAATTTTAAGAAAAACGAGTAAGCACAAATCGGAAAAAAAAAAAATTATGAAAACTGAAGGAGAATGATTTTTCAAGAGAAGGGTCATTTACAAAAATCTAGAAACAAAAATCCGATGTGGTGAGGAGTGAAAGAAATCAGATTAGAGCAGATTAAGAAAGCACAGAATGGTAAGAAGATAAGGCAATATACAGACTTTAAATATGGTTAACTGGGAACTATAAAAGAGAATGACATGACTGAGTTCTGTTCTGCTAGCATTCACTCCCTCTGGATCTTACTGCTTACTTGCTCTGATGAAATAAAGCAAGCTACTTTGTTGTAAGCTGCCTTACAGAGAGGCCCACCTGGCAAGGAACAGAATCCTGCCAACAATTAGGTAAATGTGGAAGCGGCTTCTTCCCCAGTCAAGCTTTGAGATAAAAGCAGTCCTTGCCAGCACCTGTATGTGATTCTGGGGCAAAGGACCCAGATAAGTCATGCTTAGATTCCTGACCCATAGAAACTATGACATTATAAATCTTGTTGTTTTAAGTCACTAAATTTTGAGATTATTTGTTACATAGCAATTATCTAACATAAGGACTTTAAGGCAAAAAGCATTACTATAAACAGAAAGGGATATTTCATGATGAAAAGGTGTTAATCCAACAGAAGATAATATGATTCTAAATTTGTATGTATTTAACATGGCCTCAAATATATAAAGCAAAAGCTAACAAAACAAACAAGGAACAGACAAATCTATAATGTAACCTTGTGGTTGAGAAAGAGCAAGCAGTCAGTGAGGTCACAGAGATGGAATAACATTGTTAATAATCTTGACCCAACTGACCTGTACAGAACACCACACCCAATAACTATAAAACATACTGTATTTGAAAATACGTATGGAACATATACCAATGCCTATGTGCTTGGCCTTCAAGCAAGTTTCAACAAAATTTAAAGGACAGAAATCACACCCAATGCATTTTCTGATTTGTAGAGGAATTAAGTTAGAAGTTAAAAAATTTTCCAAATATGTAGAGGAATTAAGTTAGAAGTTAAAAAATTTTCCAAATATGTATGTATATGTATATGTATACTTTAAAGTTATGCTCTGATCAAAGAAGAAATCATAATAGAGATTAAGATATACTTTACAGTGAATGACAAAAAAGCATAAGGAGATAATCAGAGGAGAAATCAATGCACTAGAATAGTAAATAAGCATTCAATAGAGAAGAACCAAAAGTTAGTTCTCTGAAAAGACTAATAAATGGATATCCCCCTGCCAAGAATGATGAAGAAAAAGGGAATGCACAATAAATTTTATCAGGAATAAAAAAGGATGTCATTTCATATTCTCAGAAATGGACAACTTTATGTCAATAAAAACCTGAAAATTTAGGTTAAACAAATTCCTAAGAATAACATAAACAAAAGACAAAATAGAGATATATTAATTGTCCCAGATCTATTCAGACATAAATTACAGAATTAAAATCCTTCCCAAAAAGAAAACTCCAAGCCCAGAGTGCTTTTCTGATGAACTTTTTAAAAAATATAAATAATGCAGGGCGCCTGGGTGGTTCAGTCGGTTAAGCGTCTGCCTTTGGATCAGGTCATGATCCCAGGGTCCTGGGATCGAGTTCCGCATTGGGCTCCCTGCTCCATGGGGAGCCTGCTTCTCCCTCTGCCTCTCCTACTCCCCCTGCTTGTACCCTCTCTCTGTCAAATAAATAAATAAAATCTTAAAAAAAAAAGAAGAAGAAAGAATGCAATCTTATAGGAATTCTTTTCAGGAATACAAAAAATTCCAAAATCATTTTATGATACCAAAACTAGGCAATCCAATTTAAAACAGGGAAATTACAGGTCAATGACTCACATTAATTTTTAAAAGAAAATAAAAAACAAAACCTAAATATTGGCAAATCAGATCCACCAGTATATAAAAGAATTATATATCATGACACACATGGAGTTTATTCCAGAAATGAAAAATAGGCTCAACAATTGAAAATTAATGAAATTTACATATGATCAACTCCAGAAATGTCATAAAATGTTTTTGATAAAATCCAACATCTTGTCATGATAAAGACACAAGTCTTAGCAAACTAGAAACAAACTCCCTCATTTTGATAAGGGGTATCTATAAAATAAAAACCTGTAGCAAACATCAAACTTATTGATGAAATACTAGATTTCCTCTGAGATATATAACAAGACAATGATATCTGATGACTACTTGTCAACATCATTTTGGTCATCTGTAGAGGTCCTTGCTGATTCAATAAGGCAAGAAAACTACAAGTCTATAAGATTTGAAAAGGAAGGAATGATACTGTTATTCACTGATAAGATGATTATATATGTAGAAAATCTAAAGTTATCTATAGATAAGCTATCAGAATTAATAGGTAGCAAGGTGTCGGGATAAAAGGCAATTTAGGAAAAAACCCTTATTTCTATATAACAGTATTAAATAGACAATTATATTTTAAAATAATACCATTTACATCCAATACCTATAGTTCAAAGACTTTGAACACTATAAAACATTGCCAGAATTTAAGGAAGACCTAAATAAGTGAAGGAATATATCATGCTCATGGTTTGAAGATTTCATATTGTAAAGATGTCACTTTTTCTGAAATGTATCGATAGGTTTGGTTTATTTGCTTGATTTTGTGGAAACCAGCAAACTGATTCTAAAATTTACATGGAAATTCAAAAAGCCAGAAAGAGTAGCCAAGATAAGCCCCAGAACAGCAAAGTAGAAGAATTTTACTAGGTAGACTTATTATAAAGCTATAGTAATCATGAAGCATGATATCCGCTAATAATAAAATAAAAAATAAAAGAATCCAGAATTATATCATGCAATGAGCATATAATTGATGAAGAGATAGCTTTGCAGAGTAATGGGGGAAGGTACAGCCTTTTCAATATCTTCAATAACCTTGGGAAAAACAGAGTTCTTAAGGCCCAAAAGCACTACCAAAAAGGAAAAGATGAATGTATTTCACTACATTAAAAATCAAGTACATCTATTCATCAAAAGATACCATTAACAAGGTGAAAATACTAGCCATAGAGTGGGAGAATATATTTGCAAATATAACTAATAAAAGGCTAATAATGTCAAGAAATACAAAGAAGTCCTTTAAATCAACACAACAAAGACCACTCACTTAAAAAAAAGACACCTAACTAAAAATGATACCCAATGGCCAATAAATATATGAAAAGTTGTGCAGCAAGGAAATGCACATTAAAAAACTATAATGACTACCACTACACATTCAACAGATTCACTAAAATTAAAAAGATAGACCATACAAAATGCTGACAGATTTGTGGAGCCAATCGAACACACATTATTGGTGAAAGTATAAATTGATACAAGCTCTTTGGAAAACTGTTTGGTATTATCTACTAAAGTTCAGTTACTCTTGACTCAGGAATTCCACTAATTATATACCTAACAGAAATGTTTATGTATGTGTGCCAAACTCCACTTACAAGAATGTTCATAACAGCATATCATAATAATCCCAATCGGGGGGGGGATCAATAGTAAAATACATAAATTGAAACAACAGTGAAAATAAATGAAATACAACTACATGAAACATGACTGAATCTCACAAACACAATATTGAGCAAAAGAAACCAGACACACACACAAACTACATACTGTATGAATCCATTCATATGAAGTTTGGGGGAAAAGCAAAATTAATCTCTGGTGTAAAGACCATAGTGAGAAGGGGGTGTTAGTGACTGGGAGCAGGCACATGATGGGCTCATGGGATATTAGTAGATCCTATTTCCTGATCACGGTGGTCATTACACAGTGTCCACTCTGAAAATTCATCTAGCTATATACTCATGGTTTGTGTACTTCATTGTATGTCATTCTTCAATTTTAAAATATATTACAAATCTTGATGATACAAACAAATGAGTCTTTGGTAAACAACCAAACCAATAAACAATAACAATAAAGGCAATGAGAAACTCCAAAAAGAACAAAAAGCTGTAAAAGAGTGTCAAGGATTGAAAAGAAATATTAGCAATTCATGGTGCTAGAAGAATAGAGAATTCTTTCCTTATTATTAGGAATTTCTTCTTTTGAATGATTCATTCAACTTGTGAACAAAATACGGAAGATGTAGTTACGGTTGCAGGACAGATTATAAACGTTAACAACCTTGGCAATGTAAAAATAAATATGTATGTAGGGCGCCTGGGTGGCTCAG